GCACGCGGCATGGGGTGGGGGGAGGCCAGACTGCGGCTATTGTTCTGAGGGTGCCAAGCCCCCCCACCAATCCCTTCTTCTCTTACCCCTCTGAACTGCCAGAGTCCACAGCAACAGAAGACAAAGGCGCCGCACCCCCCCGCCACACGAACACCCCGAGCAGCCCCCGCCCCCTGCGGCGGTCCTTTCCAGTGTGTCCCCCAGCCTCGCCCCCCACTGCCCTCCATTCAGCCCCATCCCTAGCAGGAAGGCGCAGCGCGGGCACCTCTGGCGCAGCTGGACCGGGTGCAGCATCCCGGGCCCCACCCTGCGGCACCCGCCGGAGGGGCGGCTTTGGCGGGAGGGCCAAGTCAGGGTCTTAGGGATCAGGGGTCTACCTCTTGGTGCGGCGGAACATACTGCCACCAGGGAAGGAGGGCATCGAGAAATTGGAAAGCGCGGTCCAGAGAGAGTCAGACATGACCCGGCGGCGGCGACATGGTGGCAGGTGCGGCAGTGGCAGCGGCGCTGGGAACGAGCGCGCTGGGCGGATGCTGGAGCCGCAGCAGGCAGGGAGGGGAGGGCGAGGGAGGGGAGGGCCATGCGCTACCGCTTGCCGGGAGGGGGCGCTGCTGGGTACCAGCGCACCAGGCCCCGCCCGCACGCTGGCCTGGCGCCCCAACCCGCTCTCGCGTATCTCTCCCCAAGGCTCACCTGCTGCTTTTCCGGGGCAGGGGCAAATCCTTCTAGAAGGCAAAGAAACAAAAGGATAGAGGTCAGCATGAGCCAGCAGCTGTTGCCCGCAAGCTTTTCAGCCCCCAGGAGGAGAAGTTGGGTGAGACTCATCCGCATGTCACCTGCACCCTTGGCCATGGGCTGAGGGCTGAAGGTAGGGATACCAGGATGACTCCTTTCCTGACTCCCAGAGACCAGCATAGGGCCCCATAGAGGACTCCTGAGTTAGCATCTCAATGTTTGTTTGTGCAAGTGAAACGGGAGTCTTTAATTAAAAAGCATTTCTTGAGCGCCTACTATATCCCAGGACCTGTGTAGGCACTGGGGCCACAGCAATGAATGAAACAAAAATTCCTGCCCTTTTGAAACTAGCATTTACAGGAGGGAAGCAGAAAATAAACAAGATTAATGTGAAAGTGAATGAAATAATTTTAGACAGCAATAAGCGTCATGAATAAATTTAAGCAAGGTGATATGATGGAAAACAGCTAGGAGAGGGACATGATGGTCTGAGAGGGCTACTCTGGGAAGGCGACTTTTAAGATAGTTTCTGAAAAATAAGAGGCAGCATGGGAGGATCTGTGAAGAGAGCATCTGAGGTAAAGGAAACTGCAAAGGCCTGGAGGCAGGAATGAACTTGGCATGCTCAAACATGAAAATTTGAATGAATGAGTGACTCCTCCACACTCCAACGGTTCTACCCTACTCCCAGCCAGATCCAAGAGTAGGGGGGTGGAGGTAGTTGAGGTGGCTCAAAACTGAAATTTGAATTGAGAATCATGTGGTGGCTAGGTGCTCTTTAAAAATATATATTTTTTTAATTAAAATATATATTATATTTTATATATATATTTTTTTTTTATATATATATAATGGCAGTGATAATAATTAATAGCTGTTAACTTTATGTGTCCACATCAGAAAATGTTCATGTTCTGTTTGGCAAGCACACAGGTAGTCACTACAGGGACCAGAAACTACGGAGGTCTAAACCCTTTTCCAAGAGAAATGGGGAGAGGGACTGCCAACTTATAGCCGGCTCTGTGTCCACAGGCTGATGCGAATAAAGGGGATTAGGTAGGGCTGCAAGATTTGAATGAGGGTTTCAAAAGCCCTTTTGTTGGGGACTCTAACCAGAGGGAAATTAGAAAAACTAGGAATAGTCTAGATCCTTTCCATGATCTCTGAAAACAGAAATCCCAGGGTTCAAATCCCAGCAGTGCCTCTTAACAACCTTGGCAAGTGACCTTCCAATAGTCCATACATCCTAGAGGATTCCGTGAGATGATGCAGGTGCTAGCACCTTAGTGTGAAGCCTGGCACATAGTTAGGGCTCAATAAATATTAGGTCATAGGAACAGGAGTTATTGTGGATGGATACACTGCATGACAGAAGATGAGCCAGAGGGATCTCCCACTCCTGTGAATGTATAGTCGAGGTCAAAGGGCATAATGTCTACATCGGCAGCCTTGCCCTTCTGAGCCACGAGTGACCAGAAATCCATACCAGGTTTTCCTGCTGTCTTTGCAGGATCAGCTAGAATGAGCTGCAACTTGGACCGGCCCTGCGGGACTGCGCGACCGCAATGGCCCAAGCGAAATCAAGACCTGGATTTCTCGACCATGGAGCTCAAGATTCCAGACCCGGGTACACTCGGCCTTCGAGGGTGAGCCCCTGGGAAACATTCAAGCCTCTCTCCGAGAAATTTTCGAACACAGCCTCATCTGCCAGGGCACCTAACATTAGGGGTCGAACAAAAGGACAAACTGGAGCAGTGGAGGACTGGGATCCTTGGCGTCGGTGTAAACAGACGCCACCTCCATCCCCAGCTGCAGAGCCCCAGCTGCAGAAGCGGCTGCTGCTTCTCTCCAGGATTAACAGACAGCGCTGCGGACAGGCCATTCAAACTCAGGATGCTCTTCATATATATGACCCCAGCTGTACACAGGGGACCCTCGGGTTCTCCGAGGTTGCGAAACAGTTCCTAAAGGATTGTCCTAAGGGATAGCACCAATGTGTGAGGGTGTATCCAGGCAGCGAAGTGATTAACCCTGCCAGAGGGAAGAGGTAGGAGCATGACCCGGGTGGGGGTACCCGAGACTAAAAGTAGCCTCAAGAAGGTTGAGAGGATGAGTGGGAGGATCCCGGGCTGGGGGCAGTCTTGCTAGAGACAAAAATCCCGCGTGGCACTGAGCCAATGGGAATCGGCACCGGCCCAGAAGGCGGGGATACACCCCATGCAGGCCCCGCCCCATTTTCTCTTTTTTCCTAGGGCACCCGATGGCGCGTACCTAGTTTGATTGGTTCAGCATTTGGCTCTGGCTTTGCCGCAGCTCCCTCCCTCTCTTAGGAATCGTTCTCCTAACCCAGCCCTGGAATTGGGAGGGAATCGAGGGAAGACCTGAAGAGCCCAAGCCTCCTAGACGGGGCCATCTGGGCTGTTTGAAAGCGAATTAGCTTTCCAACACAAGTATGGCTCCAGCATCAACCAAACTCCTGGGAAGTCCATCCTGCCCTCTGATCTCGATTTTTCCTGCTGCAATGACTGATCAGCTCACCTTGGTCTCCAATCTCACGGATGGTGGGTTAGAAGAGGTCCTGGATCAGAGTTCTGGATCAGAGTTCTTCCCAAGCTCTAAGCTAGGTATGTAGCCTGAGTCTGGGCCCATGTTAGGCTTTATCTAAGTGTTTCCAGGATACCTAGCACGGGGCTGAGCTCCAATGAGGCTCAGAAAGACCAGACAGACCTTGGGGTGAAACTTAACCTTTAGAAGCTCACACCAAAGACGGGAGAAGAGGACCCTTCTCAGCTTCAGAATCTCCACCCATCTTGGAAGTGGGAATTCCTGACGCTTGGATTCCCCGCCGCCCCCCCACGCCCCGCCCCGCCCTCGCTTTCCGACACTCCACAACAATCCTCAGTGTCCCACTCCGCGCAGTGGACTCACGCCTACCGCGCCTGCGCAGCCTGGAGACCAGCATCTTCTAAGGCTGCAAGGAGCTAAAAATCGCTCCCGCCCACCCACAAGCTGCGCTGGACTTGAGGATTGCGCAGGGGCGGGGCGCGGGGGGGGGTAGGTGGAGTGGAGGGGGCTGGAATGAAGAGTGAGGAGGGAGGCTGTTTAGGTGCCTGTCCAATTAGGTCAGTAGGAAGAATCCTGGTAGCCAGGCGGGTGCATGGACGTCGCAGGGGGTCTCTGAAAGCGGCTCCTGAGGTGGTGAGGGGCGAGGCTGCTGGTACAAACATGTTTACGGCTGCAGCGATGCCGGCGGCCCCGTGGGGCTCCAGCCTTGGAGCAATAACTTTGCTTTGCGCCCCCTCACCCCCCACCTTGGCGAGGAGCCAGAGCGATGACTTCTGGCCCCAGCCCCCTTGCCCTCCGGTGGGCTAGGTTCCCCTCGGGCTATCCTCGAGGAGGAGCGCTCGGCTGCACCCTCTCCGTCAGCTCCCTGGATCCCCGGGCGGCGCCCGAGGGGCGGGGTCCCCAGCACGACAGGACGCGTGGCCACAGCGTTCCCTGCGGGTAGTGTCCGGAGACCGTGGGAGACGGCGCCCGCGCGGACCCTGGCGCAAGTTCTCCTGCCGGCAGCCGGGCCCCGCCCCAAGGCGCCGACCCCCTCTGCTCCACCTGGGGCCGGGTCCACCTCGTACCTGCAGCCTCCGGCGGCGGATCAGGCCCGAATCGTCCATGGCGGCGGAGGCTTCGGCCCCGGGGAGGGAGGAGGGTGGCGGTGGCAGCCGGGAGGAGGGAAGAGGGAAGGAGTGAGAAGCCGCGGGGACCGCCACGGCGGCGGCGGCTGGAGGGGGGGCACTTCCTCTGACTAGCAGTGAGTCAGGCCAAAATCAACATTTAGTGGGTGGGGACGATGGGTGCTTCCTGCAGAGTGAAGTCTCAAGGAGTCTCATTC